AGGCCAAGATGGCGTGAAGCAAGCGTAGAGAAAGACATCAGAAATATTCTGCTTTTTAATATATAATCCACAAATACATGGAACTATTCAATAAAACTCAATAAGTTACAATAAGCAGTGTGCTAGTATGATTTCACTGTGGATGTATTGCTGGACTCCATGAAAAAAAGAAGAAAATACTTTTTATTTGGTTTGTCATTATCAAACTGTTTTTAACATTTTTTTAAAACTAGATACAATAAACATGTCCGTATTGTTTGTTATTCCTGACTTTCAGAGACGTCACAACGACACCTTTCACAAACCTCCACTGATAAATATTAAAGCAGAAACCTCTCAGCACGACGGCAGGCTGCAGTGATAGAAACACTCAAGCTAAGTGCAACAGAGAACTGGTTGTAGAGACTTTGGCTGAACTGTGCACATATGTGTGTATTTATAGCAGACAACTTAAACAGAGCCTCCAGGTTGGTCTGACATCGTCCCCACAGCTGTTGGCACCAATGAGGTCTCTGCAGTTGCAGATGAATAATACAACTCACATAATTTGAAACAGAGGGACTCGATATTGTGGCGGATAAATGTGAAGTTATAATTTTTTTATTAGATTCTCATCTGAGCTTCTGAGCTCTACGGACTGTCACGAGAAGCAAACTGCAAACACGAACCATGTCAACCCCACGGTTTATTTTTTCTTTCTGCACTTAGTGCGCATCACTTTTTAAAAGTAAATGAGTTGCAATATTAATGAGGGAAAAAAATTCAAGATGAGCTCACACACACAATAAAGAGTGTAGGTTTATGACTTCTTTTTTTTTAAAGGCAAATTTTAAAATAGTAAGCGGACTTTATTTGAAAACTACATTTTTCAATAAAATCAACGGCATTTTTCTGCTTCTGACTGGCAAGCAGTTTCTAAAAAGAATAAAAGCAAATAAAAAAAATGAAATTTGAAATCTTCTCTTCTTGGTTAACTGCAAGAGTTTGAAGATTAAATTCATTTCCAGATTAACTGGCATCTGAAAATTTTGCCCTAAAATCACCGTGCATGAGCACGACTTAGAAATGAGAGGTTTGCAAAACAGAACGTTTCTTCCTGTTTGTATCCAAGCGGTTATGAATTTAATTAACAACAATCTGGTGGTGGTTCGCTGTCCTGGGCCAAGCTCAAACATTAGCTTTATGTACCAACTAATATGGTTTTACACTAAAATGATGAAACAAAGAGAGTGAGTTTAACCTCATTTCAAAAATGTTGAACTATCCCTTTAAGGCTGAAACATATTTTGCCTATTTATTTTCTGTGGCGGTTCCCACAGCAAATAGTTTTAAACAGTACAATTAGAGTGAGGAATGTCTGAAGCTGATAAAGAGATCATGTGGATTTGTTTGACTCTTGCAAACCTGGTTCTGCCGTTGCCCCTGTGGATAAAGCCCGGTATCACTAAGCTCCCCGTCGTCCCTCAGAGCCATCTCTGCCTTTGTCCTTTCCTCTGCTGAGTCAAAAACGGATACCAGCCACAGGTGGTCTCTGTGCTTTATTGGTTCTGACACACATCTCTTGCCTTAAGAGCTTAGGGAGACAATTAAAAACTCATAGGGACAATGAAACGAGAGGGAATTAAAGACAAAAAACAACAACAAAAACCAAATAGGATAAACAAGAAAGCATAACCTTGCAGAGGCTCTAAAGTTCTCTGACCTATCATCTACAGTGTTTCTTGCTGGAGGCATCTCTGTGCCTATGAATGTGTGGTCGTGGTACAAGTGCAGCAGCACAGAGAGTGTCTACACTAAAAAATTTAGTTGCCTTGTTAATAATACAAAGGAGGAAGAAACCTTTAACACCTGTCAACCAGAAATGTTCCTTTAAGCACCTGAACTTCATGACTGAGAGTATAGCTCAGCTCCACTGTGCAACTGGTCGAGCCATTTCAGTCTCTCACAGTATCACTGGAGATTTGCCCACATTTAAATTATTCTGACTAACAAATAACCACTTATTTGTTTACCTGCAAATCAGTGTTTTTGCTATTTGTATGCAGCTAATATTTTCCACTCTGTAAGACAAGATGCAGCTTTAATGGAGCATATTGTTAATGGCATAGAGTATTTTATTCAGATTTTTTTCCCTCCTGCAGCCCTCCATGTGGTTATATTGTGGCGTCCTTGTTGCAGAAGCACTACCAGTATGAAAAGTACCATGCTAATGTGTGTTTGCGGGCTGTATGAGAGTGTGTAAGAGTTGGAGTTTGGTGTTTCAAGTTCTGCATACTATTTCACACCCACAACATCCATACTGCGTTTGTGGTCTTTTTCATTGGATCTCAGCTCCTCAGATGTTTCACATATTTGAAGATTCTTTAACATCGATACCAGATAACATGCAAGGTAAAAATAATAATGATAATAATGTTAAAACAGTAAACAAAGTATTCACGTGGGAAACCCCGTCCACTTCATCATAGCTTTCACTGTGCTTGGGCGTTAGCTTGAGTCGGTCCATTGCAGATTCAAACACCAATCGCTGTCAGACGTTCGTAAGAAAAACATGAAACGTAGGAAAGGGCCAGACTTTGCATGCTGACAAACAATACATTTCTGGAAAACAAACCGCTGTGTTGCTGTGAGCGACTTACAATCTAACAAAAAAAACATGACTGTCTGCGACGTCAAACACTCGTTTCAATGAAATGCGTGTTTATTTCTTTGAGGCTCATAGGTTCTCCATGTTTGCCACTGATTATTAATTATCTAAAATCAAAATTGTAGAGAGGAAAAAAATATTTTTTGGAATCTTATTTGGCATAGTGTTAACACATCAACACGTTTGTACTGTTTATCTGTTTAATTTAATTGTAAATAACTCTTTATCCTTTAGAGGATAACAATCAATGAGAAAGAAAAACACTCCCTCACATCTCCAGTGTGTCCTCAGCTGGCCTCTCACACGCCTCCATTTTGCTGGTAAATAAAATATCCTTATTTCAAGGGGATTCTTCCATAATGAACAATGCTTGTATTGTTATTTATTGATCTACAATAAAAATCTTCTAGGCTGAATTTTATTGTATTTCTTTAGTGTTTGTTTTTATGCAAAACAATAGTTGGGTGGGCTCCACAAAGCTGTTTTATTTTGGTTAACAGGTTTGAAAATAGCTTATTGTTTGGCAACCAGAGCAGATCTTCTTACAAGAGCTGAAATATTAGGACTGAGAGACACAATATTTTCACTCACCTCCTGCGTATAATTTCAAGGGAAGCTTTTTGCTAAATTACTTCGAAAGCTGCCTAAAAGCAAAGTGTTTAATGTTTAATGTTTCACTTCACTTTAAGATTGTTTTATTCATATTGCTCTGTTTGAATGTCATCACGAAAAGAGTTTCCATATCAAGCCATCAAATAGTTTTGCCACAGTAAAAGCTGCCAACCTAATCACAGATACTGCCACTGACTTTTCATAAGTGCAGTTCACCCAAAACAAACGGCATGTATGAGCTTAGTGTTTCTGGGTGGGTGAAATTGAAAAAGAAAAACAATGAAGGATTTTTTTTTAATGCTATATCTAACCATGCAAATCAACTTGTTTTAATATTTAAGTATTGTCTTTAAGGGACAGTGCAGAGTTTCAGAAGTGGGGTTGTGTGAAGCATCGGAGTAAATGAGTGGATTGTCCATCTTTGGTGGAGTGTTAGTGTCTCTGCTGGACAGTCCATGAAGTTGTGTCCTTGTCACTTTCCACTCAGCAGGAACTGGGATGTGAACTTCCTGTCTGCTTCTCCCCTTCTTCTTTGTGTCTGGTTGTTTGTTCTTTAGTTGTTCAGTTGTCTGCATCATATCAATGTCATCTTATCTTTCTGGAAAATATAAAGCACATTTCTGTGACATTCACTTTTATCTGGTGTTTTTAAATGTAGCTCATAGCACAGTCTTAGCTGATCTGTCAGATTGGTGCAACAAGCATCCCCAGTATATTACCAGTGATAAAGCGAACAGTGATGTGATATGTGATACAAAGATGTGTTGCATAAGCTCGCTATCATTGTGGCTCACACTAATTATATATTTTGAGGTTTAGATTGTTTCATACGGCTGCAACTTGGGCAGGTTGAGCTCTGGAGTCAGCATGACTGATGCTGCCTTACATACTGCTCACTCAACCTGACTATGCTCTCTGCAGTTCTGCCTTTAAGCGGTAGGTGTCGCTACAGTGGAAATCTGCTTATATCCAAGAGATAGAAGATGACAAATCAGAGATCTACTGAGATTGGCATTTTGACAAGTTGCTTTTGAACTTTCTGAAACATTTTGCAATAAATATTCCTTCTTCTTTTACATTCAGCTGAACGTTCATCTGTGAAAATTAATGTTCTTGCAGAGATTACCATCTTACCTTTTCTGATCAGCCATCCCCTTGGCGTGCAAAACATATCCATTAGCTCACTGGGATATTTGTTTATTCAAACATTTCATAAAATATTGTCTTCTGCAGGTAAAATACAGACAACTATTTCACAGAAGACGTCTTCAAAAATCTGAATTATTCTTTCATCTTTAAATCTTGCTTCAGAGCTGCTTGAGAAAGGCAGTAACACCTGAGTGGGCTACGTGGCTTTTGGTTGGAGCCGATGTATGTTAATGTTAATATATTATCCATACCGTGTTCTGTAGACGTTGCTGTCACATCTGAGTTTCAGGCACTTTTTCTGACTTTAATTATTAATCAGACATCCATTTTTCAAGGTGGTTGCAAAGCCTGTCACGACACATGAGCTTCCTTTTTTCTTTCAGCAGAATTTACATTTTACTGGCTACTGATTATGTTGGTGTCATTTATTTTAAAGTTTAAAAAAAAACTGGCTTGTATAAAGAATATTGTTGTCAGCACATTGCCAGCTCACAAATAACAGGCTCACCACAGAGCTTTTAAAATAGTCTTAATATAAACACGTTTGGAAGCATTATTTTCTAGACAAAAAAATGTAAATACGTTATTGTGATTTAATAAGACAATTTTATTCTTCAGATTGCTCGTTGAGCTCATTTATACCTTTTATCATATAGTCAGACTCTACAATACAGCAACAAACAAGACATCATACACATTGCTTAATGTTACAGATACATCTTACCCTGAAGAGACAAGCTGCACAGTACGAGGGTCTGCTCCGATTATAATCTCTTACTCTACACATCTGTGATGTAGCCCATTCAGATAGTCACAAATATACAGATAATCTTTTATTATGCCAATAAAAACAAGGTTTAATAATATAAAAAATGTAAATAAAACCTGATTGGCATGATGCTAACTCATGGCACAATGCTAATGGCTGACGTAGGAGCTCATAAAGTGCACTTCTGAGGCAGATTATTGCAAAAGTAAAATTAAATTATCGTACCAGGGTCAAATTAACATTTCTAAACATGAACTTTAACTGAGAGCCAGTCGCATAATGTCCACACACAAGCAAAAATAAATACAAGGTTAATTTCTCAAATCAGAGAAAAGGCTGAGAGGTGGAAAAAACACAAACAAGTTCTTGAACCAAGATTCTGGTTCTTGAACCAAGAACTTCTTTGTGTTTGTGGTAGTAAATCTGTAAGTACATTAATTTTATTCAGGACATGGACCTGCCTGCTTGTGATCTACAGTATTTGTGCTTAGTTTAAACCTTTCAGCTGTCCAGTGGTCAAATATGCATAATTTTACTTTTGCTGTTGATTTTAGTTGCTGAGAAACTTCAGAACCTGTTTGCAGAAGAATGAAACATTTTTCTTTTACTGTAAACATGAGAGTAAAGCCAGGAAATGGTTTGATAAGCACAAAGATGGATAAGAAGTTGAAACAGATTTTCATTTTCCATTTTTGTCCACTTATCCAGCATAGTGCCCCCTCATCATTTGGTACCCCCATTTCACACCCATATGCCATCCATCCTTCCACTCTCTAAATCCTCTGATATTATGCAGGGCTATATGGGGGTTCTTGCATGTCTCTAGTGGCCAATTTGCTCGAGGCGAGGTACTCCCTGCAGAAACAACCATGCACACACACACACACACGCGCACACACACACATTCACTCCTAGGAGTAAGTTAGATTGTCCACTTAACATAACATGTCGGTGGTAGGATGAAGAGAATCTATTCATGCATGTATCAGGAAATACAAAGTCCACACAGAAACTCTGGTGGCCCCTCCTCCTCCTTTCTGGGAGGCAACAGCGCTAAGTTATCACTCTTTATAGTGAAGCATGTTAGCAAACTGGAAGTAAAAATTCATACAAAATGGAAAAATCTCAGAGAGTCTAACTATGTTATTATCTAGAGAAATAATTTTGTATGAAATCTTTGTACAAAAAATAAAAATGAAAATTACCATAGAGCGAAATGACAGATGAGTATCCTGGCCAGCTGCCTTAGTAGCTGGATCACAGAAATAACAGATCCAGGACGGGAACAAAACCGTTTTTCTCCCTATCCTCTGCAGAGCTCGATGGCTCTTGTTGATGAAGAGGAGCAGCATTTCTTTTTCAGTTTAATGAAGTTCCTCTCCTTATGTTTAGGGTGGAGCCATGCCTTCAACTTGATGAAATTCATTTCAGCCACATGTGTCAGGCTCCTTATTATTTTCCAATCCACATCTCATGACTACAGGTGATGTCTTGAATGCAGACATACCAAAAAGTGAGGTTAGCCTTTTGGTTCAGCTGTTCAAAACAACAGACTGGAGGAAAGCCAAGCTTACTGCAGATGAAGCTCTGATGTGTCAAACCATCTCCTGCTCCTTCTCACTAAGACCTGATACCAAGATACCCGACCTGCTTCACTCAAAATAGACTCACTCCAGCCCAGAAAAACACCAAAATAAATCACTCTTGCTTTTAGCTGCTTCCAGAATGAAAACAGAAGTGTCCAGTCTTAGCATAATCAGTCTAAAGTAAATTAGTAAAATTGACTTGTTCAGGGATCCCTTACAGACAGCTCACTAAAAGCCACATAAAGAGCAAGAGTGACTTCATAAGTTTTTCAAAGAACCATGATGACTAAAATTTAAAAGTAGGCAGAATGAGTCAGTCAGTCTAAAAATCATTGGATATCATGTATTTCTATTAGGCAGAAGTAACAGCAAGGATTTGCCTGTTAGATCAATACCTAACAAATACATTTTAAATCAATTCAGTTCTATAATTAACCCAGTCCAGTTTTCATGGATGCAGTCCTGGTTTTAAACAGATATTAAAAATGCACAGATTGACTGTATTTAACAATTAGGCGACTTCTGATGGCAGCTGGTTGTGCTTGATTGTATTTAGGAGTTTTAAAATAAAGACAGGAGCACATTATTTAGATTGACTTTTGTCAAAAAGGTTGATGAAAACAGAATTATGTTGGTGTTCAGGTTGTAGTATGACAAAACATGGAACACTTCAAAGTATAGTAATGTCTTTGCAAGGCAGTGCAAAAGAAAAACAAAATATCACTGCAAATATTTTTTCCTTCTACTTTCAAAGCTGGCATCCAGTGGTCAATCAGCGAACTGCAGTTTTGGATATTTTCACCCTGATTGTGACCTTACAGTGATTCACCTTTAGTTTATGAATAGACTGATATCTTAATCAGAGGAAGAGATCTGTCATTTCCTCTGAAATAATATCAATTTATAATGATGAACTTCACCACTCTTTGTCTCTGTATGGTAAAACCAAGAACGGCATTCTTACAATCTTTGAATGTGTCTGAAAGTTAAAATCATGGCACCTTCGACTCTGACTTGCAACTGAAAATTATGATCTCCTCAATTTTACTACATTCTCAGCGGAGTAAGTGTTACTGCAACTTGAAACATTCATGCAACTCTAAAAAAAATTGCCCTGTGGTTGATTCACCTGGATTTGTTTGCGACTGGACTTGAAACCGCGTCTTCGTGGTAAAAGCTCCCAACCTGCATGACTGCCCAGACCACAGCAGATCTGGAGAAAGCATGGACTGTTTCCACATTTTCTCCCTTCTGCAAAGCCTCGACACTGCACAGTGATCCTCATTTGGACAAAATGATTGCAATCATTTAATATTTTGGACCAAAGCCACAAAAACTGTGCTTGCGAAAACAAAAGAAATGAACATGGTCCTCAGGTCTTCTCACCGTGGGGAGGGGACTGCTCTCTTTGAAAAAGCAGGGTCACACCCTTCCTGAAGCGGTGGTCCCTCACACTGTAGATGATGACATTACAGCAGCTGTTTCCTGTCAGAATCCAGAAGGCGAGAAAAGAAAAGTTGCACCACGTGTATCCCACCACATTTCCGAGCACAAACACCGCGATGGGAGAGAAGGATGCTGTGAAGGCAAATGTCAGTATGCCGATTGTCTTTGCAGCCTTAATGTCTGAGAATGATGGTCTGTGGGAGCATCCTCCTCCTCCCCCTCCGTCACTCAGACTCCCCTCTGAGAGCAGTTTGCGTTTTTGGGTGTATCGGCGGATGCTTGTGAAGGACACAATATTAACTGCTAATGTGCCACCCAGAAGTGTGAAGTCGAATGCTGGGAACAGCAGCAAAATGTTGGCGTCAGGCGGGAGCCGGCCTCCAAACAACAATGGGGCGTAGTTACACATGCGACTGCAGTCATTGTACTCCAAAGTGAAGTTGCTGCTGAAGATGAGAGGGGCGAGAGCCAACAGGAAGCTGGCTGCCCAGGACAGCAGGATGAGGAGCAGCGTTCGTCTTCTGGTCACCAGCACGTCTTTGTGGAGCGGCCACAGGATGGCCACGCTGCGCTCCAGGGTCATCAGGAAGATGGTGCTGATGGAGACAAAGGTGCATCCCGCAAACACGGGACCAATCAGCATGCAGGGCTGCCAGGGGCTCTCCATGTCGCTGAAGGATGCCGATGTACCACCCTGGTACCACAAGGGAGGAGCGCTGGTCACCATCAGAGAGATTTCAGTGAAAACAGAGAAAGGAACCACGACAACACCCACCATCATGTCTGCTATGGCCAGGGACACTGTCAACAAGATTAACAAAGAAAAAAAACAAGCAATATTTAGTTTAAATGTTTGAGAATCAGGCTTTTAATCACATCTGGTCAACTTTATCTGATGAGAAAAAAATAAATACAAGATAAAAATAAAAAAAACTACAAAGTTACCTTTCAAGTACCCTTGTGGTGTTCTCGACTGCCTAGTTTGCACAAAGACTGTCAGAGTAACCACATTTCCAACCACAATAGCAAACGCCAGGCTGACCATGAACGCCACGGCGAGGGTGCGGTTGAGCATCCCACAGCAGCAGAGGGTGCAGAGGGGTGGAAGTGAGCCATGTCCCGTCTGCGCAGCCGCAGTCAGGTTAAACGGACAGTCAGAGGTCACCAGGAGAGCTGCGGTGCCCACGGGAGTGCTGGTGTTGGGAAGCAGCTCAGTCATGGCCCAGAGTGGTAATAATCTCTGTGAAGTGTTGGCAGAAAACCGGCTCAGGAAACCATGATGTAAAGTGGTTGGCCTTCCTAGAAAAAAATAGCAGAAAAAAAAAAATCATAAAAAGGCATTTTCAGTCATTCATTTTTGGCTAGATTTTGATAATGTAATAATCATGTGGCAGTCGATTTTTGCTATGTGTTTTTCTTATTTATTTTTATACTTTCCACAAGACAAACTTTCAGATGAGTGCATGTAGAGATACTGACACCACATCTCCTTTGCTGAACCTGATCAAGTTCTTTGTAACGATTGTCCAAGGACACAAACTCTCCTCTTAACTTCAAACCAAACCTGTAAAATATAAATTAGTATTTCACCTATTGTGAAGTGCACACAGTGACTCCAATGTTTTCCCTCACTACTTTTCTCAGAACTGCACCTTCTCCTTTGACAAGGACACAAATATCATTTATATTTATCTGCTGTAAATGGCAAAGCACTTTCAGAATCTCTCAAAAAGCTTTTAGCAAGAAAACCAAAACTATAGGATTTTATTTGAAGGTGATATTTTGACAAGTTTCTTATTTGTTTTATGCATCAAAGCATTAGTCTGAGAAATCACTTCTTGACTGACAGATTTGACAATTGGAATTTTTTTCTTTTTCTTACATGAACTAGGGAGGTGACAAAATGTTCTGGCGGAAGACAGAAATAATAAAAAACAATAGGTCTCCTACTATGTTATATCTGGGTATGGACCATTTTCAAATTAAAAGCTTCAGTACACGTCTTTCCCTTCTTTGTACGATGGTGTATGGAAAAGCATGGGTTACACTGGCCTAACAAATTTGCTTCATGAAAGAGAATGAAGTGAATTTTGAGAAATATCATGTCCTGCCATATATTTAAAGTAAGTGTGTAACTTTTAAAGGTGTTCTGTTTTTATTCTTACATACACTGTGTGTGTGTTCATGTTTAGTGAGATTAATTGTTTGGGATTCACATTGTTCAGCTTTTCATCTTGTTTGATAGACCGATAGAACGACAGAAAAGGACTGACTTTAACCTATTCAACTGAATATGCTTAAGAACGAATATTTAAAATAATTTTTTTGAAGCCACTGTTGTGCTATTGTGAATTATAATCTAGTCTAGGGGTACCCCTTGGTTTTATTGTCTTTGTATTGTGGTTACTTGCTATTCCTTGACTCTAACACAGTTTGAGGCATCAATCCTGTCAGTGCCCAAACTCCAAGTTCAGGACCAAATGTCTTTCACAGCTGACAACTAAATACACGGGTCCTTCCATCATCTGTGCTGTTCAGTGGGCTGGAGAGCAGAAGGGTACACTCATCCACTCAAACACAGAGTAACAGGAACGGACATATTCAGACCAGGGCGAAAACCGAAGCAATGTTTGTGGATTGGCTTAGAGCAACTACCAAAGACTCAACTATTTAAAGAATTAGAGTTCAAACAATCACAGAAATATGCTCTTGCTACACCGTCATGCTGTTCTGTATTTCATGAAAATCCAGAGAACAGATAATATTTTATTATCTTCCACCAAAGCCTGTGTTCAGCCTGAATCTCACTTATAGATAATTGTCTTCAAGTTTGTGGGATAAAAGAAAAGAATGTGACAGAAAGCTGCATTATATGTTCGAGACAAAACTGGCTTCATATGAAGCATTGTGACAGCAGCACAGATACAAAAGAAAAAGAAAATCACCCAACAGTGAATTTCTTAGAACAAATCATTTTCATGCGAAATCGTTATCAAACACAGTGTATGTCAAACTTTGTGTGATTCCTGTGTCTGACAACAAAAAAGATATATTTATGCCTTAGTCAGAAGTCGTCCTAACATCTAAAGGAAGACTTTACTTATATTAGATGGTTTCCATTGTGTGTATTAATGCATTGTAAGCTATATTCTTTGTTTGAATTATTAAAAGAGACAATTGTGAATGTTTTTAGAGGGAATCTCAACTATTTGCAGAGTTTAGCTGCTGGCTAGTGGCTGTGACCCTTAACCCTGGAAAATCTTTTATAATAAAATATAAATTTTCATCTTTCATCACTTTAAAATCTACTAATAACTAAATATGGGCAGACAACCATCATTTATCTAGTCATTATGCATTCCCTTTGTACTATGAAGTTGTATTTTTTTAGTTCTCAGCAGGAAATGCATTTATGAATGAATGAATGAATGAATGAATGAATGAATGAATGAATGAATGAATGAATGAATGAATATACTTTATTAAGCCCAGAGGGAAATTAATATTTCAGTACATTCTGTCCAGATAGAAAGGTGCAGCCTTATTTGCCAAATGCTGTAGTGCTAAGCGCAGTAGAAGTGGAAACTATTTTCACCGTGTTATTAAATGTTCAAAAACTAAAGGAACATTTCCACAAATATTGTCCCTGTCCTGTGATATTTGTTGCATGTGTTTCCTCCTTCTCTTTCTGAATACTGCAAATAAAGAGCCACTCGTGCCACGAAAAACTTTATTTAAAAAATGTTTCCCTGTCAGACTTGCCACTTCTGAGCGTTCTTGATGTGCCTCTGACTGGTAACACAATTAAATGCCAGGTGCAAAAAGAATTATCTGCAAAAGGGCATACCGCACTCCATGAGCTTTTAAACTGAAGTTGTTGTTGTAACTACTGCCAGACCTTTACTGAAATCCAACCCTGCTGTTCCTTATACGATTGATGCACTCTATGAGCAATTCAACTGAGCTTGAGCTTTGTGCGTGATTTTTAAAAACAAACTCTAACGTTTTGTTTCTAATGTTAAAATAAGTGATATTAAAAAAGACCTGATTTTGTTTTTTAAGGAATCACGGCCTGTGAGTTTGCTTGCAGTTCAGTACATGTAGTCTGGAGTTTTGATCCAAACGTTCAGTATTTTTAACACATTGCTTCAAGTATCATCCTCTTTTGCTCCAAATTATTTTTAAACATGTTGTGAAGCAATAACATTATTATCAATCACAATTTAACAAGATTTCATGAACTAATTGATTTGTCTGTGTGTTAGTTTACTAAGTACATTCAATGTGAAAAATGTCATAAAAGAGCTTCTGGTCAGATTTTGATACTCCAAAGGAAACATTTTATCTCTAAATATTACGTTATGTTGCAAAGCAAAAGTAAAATGAATACATGTGTTTGTTTCCTGTTCTTGCTGTTGTTGTACACTCATATGTCTGCTTTCAGGATGCCCACTCTCGTTATGGTCTCAAAAAATGTGCACATCTCCTAGTGGCCTGTGTAGCTGCCTGAGGAGAGATTACACAGGACCCTCATGAAATCACTCACTGATTGCCCGATTGACTGATCCTATTTTCTGTGGTTCGATTTACTTCTCATCACAGTAGCATTCAGAGAAAGCAGCATGATATTCTCCAGCATTCAGAAAATACTCCTTCACTGGGTGTCCTACGTATATGGAGAAATCTATATACTGAACATGTTGTAAAAAAAAAAAAAATGCTCCATGCTCATGTTAAGGACGTGCACAGTAAAGACTTACCTGAATAAGAAATGCTCTTATTCTATTACATTTTCCTGCTTCACAGTTATTGCCACCCTGGGTGAATACGTGCGCTATACCTTTAAATAAATTAGGATTTTATTGTGGAAGCCCAAACTTACTTTGACTCATCTTCTGCACTGAGAGTTGGAGATTTGAATATTTTTTTAAGCCAATTCATCATTTATTAACATTAACAAACATCTCAATGCTATGTTTTCTTGTTGCTCAAGTTTTCAAGATTGATTAAGAAAATTAATCTATGTGTCAAACATAATAGGGTTTATTTCTAATGTGGGTTTATTTTAGATCTTTTTTTTTAGGGTGCTGAGAAAAGTTTTACCTGTAAATACTCTGTGGAAAGAATGGGATGTTTTGTTTGAAGCGCTCAATTTAGTTTCGTTGTATTTCCTGCATATGCGCTTAAAGACTTTCTAGTTTAGTTCAGAGAAAGAACAAACTGATTTTGACTTTTTGTTAAAATATTTTCTATTAAGAAAGAGGATGACGAGGGAATCAAGCAGTTTCTTTTATTCTCCTTGAACTGAGTTTTCCAACCATACCACTGAGCAAACACTGACGAGCAGCAACAGTGAAGAAACTCATCACGGCTAGGCCTTGAGAGAGCTGACTTTAAATACACAGAGAAAAAAAGAAACTTCTGAACTCGTGAAACGCGTGGAGTGGGTGGAAGGGGAAGGCCTTGTAGCTTGACGTCAAATCTATTTGAGTTTTTGACTGTGATTCATATTTCTGTGAAGGTGATATAATATCTAAGAATCATGCTACATTAAAAACATAATTTTAAAAAATCCCTTGTGAAAATAATGTATTTCAAATAGCAAACACTTTGTGGCTTATCTCTTCTCTTTTTGGGAATGCTTTCAGCAGTTTTAGGCTTTTTTCTCTATGAACATAATTTGTTTGCTTAAACGTATTACAGCTCATTAGAGTGGAGAAACAAAGAAAAGATAATTATTTGTGAGAGGAAAGACAATCAGCCTGATTTGGAGGTTTCTGCTGTTACCTTGAGTAAAGATGACAAGCGGAAGTCATCCCTGCGGCAGAACCTCAGGCGTGGTAACGCAAGGAGCTAACAGCAGAGGCAGAGCACACACACGCGCACCCACACACACGCACACACGCACAAGACATGCAGCTGTTAGAAAGATAAAGTCTTCACAACCAGTAGACAGACAGAGATTTAACTGCGCATGGCCTGAGAAATGCAGCATTAATCACAGCTTATGGTGACACAATTTAGTGAAAATGTCTAATAAGTGAAAGTTGTAGAGAGAAATATGTGTGCATGTGTTTAGCTGCATGTTGGCCGCACAGCATTCATTTAATGAACTTTTATTTTCAATAGTTTTATCCTAAACAAATGTATCTTAAAGAAATTCCCAAGCCCTCAGACCAAACACAACAATACAGAAATCGATTTTCAGCGTTGCACTTAAAGAATGCGAACAAATATTTGCTTTCTTCAAAGTGAGAGTGCTTGAATATCTGTTTTCCATGCATGCAGTGAATGACATTTGACAGGGCTTAGTCCCTGACTGATGGGTTCGGGCATTTGCAGGAGGACCTCCGGAGCCCGGTCAGGACTCTCCGGCCAGGTCGCCTACAAACACACAGAGGTCATGGGTAGTACTAAGCGTGCTGGACGGGTCTGCACTGAACCGCCTAAGGCTTTCTCTGATGCAGCATGCAGGCAGAATCTGGACTTTCTCCTCACATCTCGGCCTGTCATCCTGTCTGTACAGGTTCCCTTTGTGTTTGACAAGTGCACACAGACACAAAGAAGCTTTCATGTTTTTTTTTGTTTTGTGTCTGTCACCATATTATGGTCTTGCTTACATTTTTCACATCATTCCTGTGTTCACTGTTTAAATAAACAACGTTGACTCATATTTTTCTTTATTGCATGAATAATTCCTTTGTGCTTTCTATTAAAGCATGCAGGTTATATATTGTACATGTTGACATATAAAATTAATTGTTGCAAAAATACAAACACGCTCTAGATAATACTTTATTTCAAATCAGGCTGAATTACGTTCTGTTTACTTTTTAAACTATTAACTTCAACATAGTTCATTTGATGCAGAAAAGCCACCTAATGTTAATGTAAGAAAAACTAAGATCTTAAAAAATACATGACTGCATGTCTAAGAAAATAATGTACATTTACCAGATTTGCTTACAAACCTCATATAACATTATTTTTACCCATCTGTGTAAATACATCAAAGTGAAAATTAAACCACCAAAGTAAGTGGAATATGTCAAAATAATTCAATTTCTATGGTGAACAGTGTATTTTTGGAAACTAGCAGAAACAAAATAAATCAATTCTGATCATCTTTCTCTCTAAAATTGCATCTGAATTCTGGAAATATTAGCAAACCAACCAAAAATATACAATACTACTACTTGTTTCAAAGTGCACACAGTCGAAACCCTTACTGCTTCATCCACCAAGCATTGGGCATTGACAAAACTAAAATAAGCTTTTAATATTCAAACATTAACTTGCAGACTGCAGTTAAACTCCACTGATTAGAACTTAATTGACAGCTGAAATGAGTTAAATGAAAATGTTGTCACACTGGACATGTGCATGCCTCTTCCTCCCTCTCAGTGACTTCTGGTCTCTTCAACATGCTGGTAACGAACATCATCGCTGCGCCGTGTCGACGGCAGCGACACGACTCAACGGACTGACATTACACAAGACTGAACCCAGCAGTTTCATTTCAGTCTCAACACACGAGGTTTAGTTATTACTTTAGAGTGATTTTTATTGACTCTGAGCAATACAAACACAGTCAAAATGGGCTTTATTAAAACTTTAATTATTGATTCGAAACCTTATTTTAATTCATTGGATTATCACAATGTAGGTCGTTGTGATAAGCCAATTTATGTCTGCCTGTGCCAGCCGCAAACCAATCAAATCAATGCTTAGTACGGAATTATTTGGCATTTAAGCAATTCAGTATTCAAACAATCACTGGAGATAAATATGATTCTTGAACACAAATTACAAAACACACAACATGATGCAACAGATAGTAAATTAATCTAACTGGATCATCTTACCAGCATTTCCACTGCCTTCGACCGTGGAGCGTTTGTGCAGACAAAGGTGCATAAAAGGAAACACAATCCAGGTTTAAAGTGTTGACTTGGTGGAAGTTAAATCCAGCATGAAGCTCTCCGGTAGCAGGAGGAAGAGCAGCTCTGCTCCTCGTGGTTCTTTCTCCACAGGAGCGTAAAGCCTCTCAGACACTCCAGCTCTCTGCTTCTGTAATCCAGCCTCTCCCATCCCCCTCCTCCACCTCTCTCTCCTGCTTCTGAGTCCTCCAACCACGGCTTTCCTCTCTCCTCCTCACCCACCTTCTCATCATGCACACACACACACACACACACACACACACACACACACACACACACACGCACACACTTCCCTAGAGCTTCAAGGTAAAGTCCACAGTTGTGTTTTGCTCTTCTTTCTCTCTCTTTCCTCTCACATTTGCCCTGTGATGTGCATCCCTCCGCTTTCATCTCCTCCACTCCAAAACACCTGTCATGTTTAGTGTCTTTGAGGCTTGAACTCTACTTTTATCGTCGCTGCAAACCTCATTGTGTAGCTCACTCTTCCCTCAGCTCGAATGCTTTTTGTCCGCAAGTATGTTTAGGGGAAGACTTCCTTTCTTTGCTGCACACTTTTATTTTTATCCACGTGTTCAAACTGTGTAAAATTAATAACAGAAACTGCAACTATTGAGAGTTGACTGTTTTAATAACATCTCTTCTTTGGGCATTTGTCCAGCTCTTCTGGGCTTTGTTAGTGTCCACAGCGTCCACATCCGTCCTCTGTGTTATTACCTCAGCGATAACTGTGCTCCCATGAGATCCTGCCTTTAAAAACAACTGGAAAAAACTGGACATCAGATCCAAAGACTCCAGTGCCACACAGAAGCAGAAAGTCAAAGTTTCAGCAGGGTTGTTCGAAAGCTGAAGAAGTAATTATGTGGCCAAAGTGAAGCAACATACAGCAATGTCCATCCGGAACCGTGTTATGTAACCTCAATCCTCAAGCGTTTTTGCAAACCTGCCAAATAAACAACCATAGGACACGTCCCCTTGCCGTAGAATAAGGGTCATACTGTATGTCTGATTCTGCTTTCCGACAAGAACCGACCTGGCCTCTTTTTGGAGACACATCAAAGGACAGAAGCTTGTTATTGTACATCATGGTTGGTGGCACATTTCAGGAACATGCTGCAAAAACAGCTCTTTTAAAAGTCATACCAGGAATAATTTAATACAAAACAGGAAACATTCAGCTGAATAAATTTCATTTGAAGCCCTGGGGTTTATAATGCCTGTGAGTCTGGTCAAATTAAACTAATGTTACATTACACACCAAAACAGAGACCTATACATAGTGATATGTCTTTTTTTTTTCATGCGTGCACTTTGGGTTATGTTTTAGTTTGTACCTTTAGTGTGCCTCCGTTAAAATAGAAAGTCACAATGTAAAGATTGTCTTTATATGCATGATTTTTACCCGGTAAAATAGCCAACCTGTAAATATAATATGCATCAAAGTAAAGAAGCTGTCTTGTACAGATCATCTGAATATTTGGTGTATCAACAAATGTCCAACTTGTGTCTGTGAACTTGATTCCAATATTTGTCAGAGCAAAATGCTGCACTAATCAGAGATTTGTCAGAATTAAAAGCCTTGAATTTGCTTCCACTTCGCAATTATCCACTGCTGTGTGTTGGTTTTATCTTGTAAAACAAATATATCTAGTTTTAGGATTTTGTTTGAGAAAATGTAAAAATAAATAAATGGATAAAAATCAAGGGCTTTAAGTACTTTTGCGGGCAGTTCTGCACATTATGCATGGTTTTCTGCCTTTTATGCACATGAATCATTTTTTGCTTTATTTTGAAGAGGTGAGTAAATGAAATATCTACAAACTACAGTAGCTATCATGTGGAATTTAAGGAGTGGAAAAACTCCTTAAATTCAGGAGTTAAATACATTTATGGCGTCACATGATGTCTGAACCACCTGAAACAACATGGACTGTAAACTCAAGATTTCTAAAAGGCGTGAGTAAATTTCTAGCTGAAGAGCTCCTGTATGAAATCAGACTGGGAATGTTTTTGCCTCAGGTCAGCCATGGCTGTAATGTTTAACACCGCCAGAATGAAATGACTTCATTTGAGAAGAGCGCCTGTTTTATTTTATTTTTTTTCTCGTTACCAAGTCATGAGCCAAGGCTGCAAAGCCAATTAAAAAAGCTACACCACATTCAAAAGAGCGTATAATAAATCTTCTCCCTCAGTTAAAACTCCAGTTTTCTCACGTGAGTCAAATTGAGACTGACTGTGGAGAAGAAAAACTTTTGACCTCTGTACATGAATTGACTGTATTATCTTCATACTAATAAAATACACATTCTGCACAAGGCTGAATGCATTTTATATCTATGACCCGGTGTGCTTAGCTTTTGATTTTCCAATTCTTGAAAGCGCCATTCACTTTTTATTGCTTTGTTTTGTATCTCTAAATATCAGCTCTGTCATAATTTATCATTTGAATGACATCTTGTAAGAATAATTATTATTTAAGGATGAAAAACAAGAGTAGAACTCCTTCGTGACTTTTTTTTTCTTCTTCCTTTTTTCTATTTTGTCTATGCCACAGGACTTCAAATTAGGTTGAATTATCTCCCATTAGACATGAAACTCTGAAACCCATCCGTGACCTTTTGCAAATAAATATGCAGAGCAGGATTGTTGGACTTTATACTTTGCAGCCATTTTCTGTCAGACTGCTGGCATATTTAAATAGTGCCAGGAAAGTCAAAATACACTCTGTTGTTTCACGCAGGAAGACCTAATGAGGCAATATTTGCCTTATCTTCAGTAAATTGTGGAATGCACAGTAAGCTGCAACCTGTCTTTATTTTCCGTAAACTGTGACTCAAAACCATGACATAAAAGATTTTCAGTCTCTTTAACATGAACTTAAAGAAGCTGAACTAAATTTATACAATAAAACAAGACAGAACCTTTCTTTTTGCTCTGTTTTGTTACTGTATGCAACATGTTTCTCATTCTTTATTTTACAAGAGAAGCTTGTACTGTTCATGAATTACACTTTAAAAGTTTTGTTGTATTTTCTTCTCATTCGGACACTGTAGAGACTATCAAACAGACCAAACAACCTGTTGCAAGATTTCGCAATTTCGCAGCTCATTTCGAAATACTGGGAATCCTGTTTTCATGTGCCAAGCAGAAATTTCCAGATCAGAGTCTTTTATCTTTCAACAGATATAAATATATCAGCACCAGAAACGCACAACGCGCTGAGAAGGAGCGGCTACGGCCACCACTGGAGAACATGCTCACTGTCAACAAGGAGTAAGATTAAAATATTTATTGCTTTGCATCACAGAGGAAATCTGAAAGCAATTAACCTCTTTTTTTTTTTCAACATCAAAAGGCTTTGCAATTTAGATTAATATAAGTCATAGGAAAGTGTGAACTGAGTTAAGATTATGCAATAACTTTTGGAGATATTGTGTGAAATAGTTTCTACAAAGCCAAATTTTAAATTCCCAACAAAAATCAGTTGCCTAAACAGGTTAGAATGACAATAATTAATAGCCTTGATTTTTAAGTAGTTTATTTGTCAATACTTTTTCTTTTATATGTTTAGTTTTTTTTTTTTATCTCAGCTGATCTAGATGAATAAATCCAGTAGATGTCTTTTCTTCTTAGTCGACTCTGTTGTCGTTTGAAGGTTTTTTCTTGCGTTGGTCTTCCTGGCCACACGGACCGTCCTGGCAGAGGAAACGATCAAAGACTCTGGTAACGCAAACATTCACTGCTTAGTTGACAAAGATCACAACTAAAAATGTTATTTTATTATTTTTGTATTTATTTGTCTGGCAACAAAGTTTGTATGAACAAGATGGTTTAATCTATGAAAGTGCAATTTACTGTTTACCTATGATTTGTGTTCACTTCAAGGGGTGGAAATATGTATGAATAATTTATCACAAAAAAATCACAGCAGAAATAAATGTAGGTGTTTTATAATTTATAATCTTTCTTTAAGTTTCAAAATATATTTTTCTTACTTGAATTTTTCAGCACTGTTAAAATGTTAAATATCCTCATTGTATGCTTTAATAACACAGGATGTTAAAGGCTGTCCTATTCTTTTCACACGACTGTATCTTGCTTAATTCCTATATAAGTTGTTCCTCTTTTCCACCTTTTTTTAAATTTTGTTCCAGAGGTTTTCAGCAGTGTTTTTATTCCATTAGCTGGATCTGTTTCAGGTTTGGGTGAGTTCAAGACCAGGAGAAATGAGAGTTTTAAAATGTCTCTCATTTGAGACAATAAATTTTGTCTTAAACAAGACAGGATTAGCTGGAATGTTGTGAGCTTATTGAACCATTTAGTGCAAGAGGTGAATGTAGAAGTGATGCATATGACTTGTTGATGTCTATTGTAAAATTCATGATAGTCTACACATTTGCTGACTTTCTTCAGTAGGCTCTGGATTGGAGTTGGAGTTTTCTCCGTCAATTTGCTTTGCTGGATTTAAAAGTTTCACATGCATAAAAAACATCCATCCGTCCATCCGTCCGTCCGTCCGTCCATCCATCCAGCAAACACAATTTTAAATAATTTAACCATTTAAAGTGACTGTGTATAACTTTTTCAAAAAATATGTTTCTTCCATATTCATTAAAATTGTCTCCATTTTTAGAGATATGATATTTTTCCAGATTATTTATGCTATGCTGTCACAACATGATAGTTATAACAAATGTGTAACTTTATAATACTTTCAAGTCAAAAGGTGAGTAAAAAAAATCTAATTATAGAATCCTCCAAAACTTCAAAGGAAACGTGACTTTTGAAATTATTGAGTGTTGGTTTATTCGTGTATTTATTAATGCTCTCGGATAGTAAAAATAATTTAGAACATTCACCAACTATTGAAAATATTTCATTATAACCTAATAAATGATCAGTTTTAAAGAGAAAATCAGGACATGTTTTTGAAGAGTCCTGATAATTTAATCACAGAGTTTCAGTTCCGTTAACAAAATGAATAGATGAGTTGAAAAATCTTATTTCATAATGTTGCACATAGCAACATAATGCTTGTGAAGACTGATGTTACACCTTCTGTGCAGACAG